GCTTCCTTTTTCCTGGTTATTTGGCTATAACTTTTTCATAGGATACAGTACAGATAATTGAACAAACTGTGTTGCATTACATTCTTGATTAACTTATCTTTCCATCGATATATAATTTTATGGCACTACTCCCCCCCAAAAGTGGTGTTATTTATTTTATTTATTTATTTATTTATTTGTGAGACTTATATACCGCTTTAAGTGCAAGCACTCTCTAAGCGGTGTACACCAGTAAGCAATGTATATATATATTTACATTGCCCCCAACAATCTGTGTCCTCATTTTACCTACCTCGGAAGGATGGAAGGCTGAGTCAACCTTGAGCCGGTGAGATTTGAACCGCTGACCTGCTGAACACAGTCAGCTAAAGTGGCCTGCAGTACTGCACTCTAATTGCTAGCCATCAAACCTCAAAAATACACTTTTCTCAAAAGGTTTCCACAAGTTTGGCCACTACTGTAGATGCTTCATCACTGGAGGTTTTCAAGAAGAGATTGGACATCCATTTGTCTGAAATGGTATAGAGCAGTGGTGGTAAACCTATGGCACGTGTGCCAGAGGCGACACTCAGCGCCCTCTCCGTGGGCACGCACGCCATCGCCCCAGCCCCGCCTCTCCCCATGGTCCCCTCCTCACCAGCAGCCCCCCCAGAGTCGCCCCCAAACGTGGGCCATGCAGAGCAGCGCAGCCAAGGACATGGCAGCTGGGACAAGATTGACCTTGCATCCCGTTGCCCAGTTGATGCTGCGGGGTGCGGGCGTGGCCACCAAGGTGCTGCTGGGCTGCCTGGGCAATTGGTGGGCCGTGGAGGCGGTGAGTGGCCCTGCAGGTGGGCGGGGCTGGGGCAGGGCAGGCAGAGCATGGGGGGACAGAGGTGGGCCTGGTTTTGGGGCACACGGTCTCTAAAAGGTTCCCATCATTGGTATAGGGTCTCTTGTTTGAGCAGGGGACTGGACTAGAAGACCTCCAAGATCCCTTCCAGCTCTATTCTGATTGATTGAGAGCGGAGCAAGCCTTGGATTTTTGTGACCAATGCCCGTTCATTTCAATGTATTACCAAGAACGAGGAAGTCATAATCCTGAGCTGAACCACTTTAGATGGGCAACGGGAAGTTTGGGAATGTTTCTAGACTTTTAATTCCTCTTTGTAGTGAAGAAGCTTTTCTTCATAGTCTTCCTCCTCCTCCTCCTCCAATTGTAACTGTAGGTGTGAATAACCTTGGGAGACAGGAAGAAGGGCTTCAGCTTAGACCACCATCATAAAAAAGGTATCTCAGTCTGTGAAAGGAAAAGGGACATGGGAAATATCCCAGGAGGGGCCTTGCCTAGTTTTTGCAGAATAAAAGGAAAGGGGGTTAATAAAGGCAGTCCTCGACTTACAACAGTTTGTGTAGTGGCACTGAAAAATGGGACATGACCACGGTTCACACTTATGACCGCTGTGGCATCCTTGTGGTCGCGTGATCAAAATTCAGATGCTTGGCATCTGATTCATACTTATGACCGTTGCAGTGTCCCGGGAGTCATGTGATCCCCTTGTGTGACCTTCTGACAAGCAATAGCATTGGGGAAGTTAGATTCACTTTACAACCGTGTTACTAATGTAACAACTGCAGTGATTCACTTAACAACTGTGGCAAGAAAAGTCGGGAAAGGCGGCAAAATTCACTTAACAAACATCTCACTCAGCAACAGAGATTTTGGGCTCAGTTGGGGTCGTAAGTCGAGGACTGCCTGTGACTTTCAGATGTGCAAGAGTCTGTTCATGTAACCTCACAAGAAAGATACAGCTTATCTGAGCTACCCCAAAGAGCTAACAGACGTTTGTTTTCCGACATGCACTGAGTACATTTTAATACAAGGGCACCATCGAAGACATGGCAGTTTCTCCCTAGCTGTCAGAACGAGATCTCCTTCTCTGTAATATATGATGCTATGCAAATTGCCATCATCATTTCCTCTATTTCTTGAGCCTTGAAAGTTATCAAATCAAAAACGTCCAATCAAATCCAATCAAGGCTGCAAGACAGATCCCAACATGAGACAAATCCGTTCCAGCTCTATCACTCTACCTTTCATCACAATTCTGCCGACATTTCCTTGCGACAATTCACATTTCCCCCCCCCAAAAAGCTACAACACCAAAATCCGAAACCCCCTTTAGAATGAGGTCAGATTCAAAGTCAAAGTATGGAGCACCCTAGCACATTATATAATTGGTTTTCTTTGGGGGGGGGAAAGCATTTCTATAAATATCTACAACCTGAAGGCTAACAAATACATATCTGTAGACATTCTTATTAGCTTGAACACTTATGATAATATCCCTTTTCCCCAACCAAACAACCAAACAAATTTAACAAATTCCACAAGATGTCTTTGGTGATCTATTCAAAAGGAAGAAAGAACTATGTGCACGCCACACCAAACCCAAAACACCTGAAAGCATTGATTAATGGACGAACACATGACAGTGAACTTTACCCATCGTGTCGGCAGCATAATCGTTGGCAGGAATTGAAAACAAGAGGTCCCTTCAAGAGATCATGCCTCTCAATCCCACCCCACCCGATTTCAGAAGTCCCAGCTAGGCAACATTTTGGAGGCTCTTCAAGTTGAGGTGCCCCACCCCCGTGGCCAGTTGGCTGCGTTTGGCTTGGAATCACCCAGGCTTGCGGTCAGGGCTATGGGATCTAAATATTGGCCAAGGGTCTTGTTGACTGAAAGCAACAGGGGAGACTGCTCCATGTATCAAGACGGGAAGCCGTTCAGAAGGAAAGCCATCTTAGTTTAAGATGAGTGGAGTTGACAAACAGGCTACCATTGGGCCGAGTCGTGCCCTGCTCCGTGTGCCACCCAATGTCTGGAGGGAGGTCTCAGATCTTTTGAAGCAGATCTTCCTTTCCTCTCCCCCAGCTGGAATCCTGAGCAGGATCCCCCCCTTTGAAGGAGATGGCAACTTGACGGTAAGGAACAAAGTCCCAAGACTAGAAGAGTCTGAAAAAATGGAGATCAGGTGGAAAAACATGTTCCCAAACATCGGAAATGGGAAGGTAGGGCTTTCAAGGTGCCATTACTTAATTTAAGTTCACTCCCATCCACCCCCAAGAAAAATTAGCATGGCAGGGAGATCCCCCTGAAGGCTTTTAAGAAGAGACTGGACAGCCACTTGTCTGAAACGGTTTAGGCTCTCCTGCTTGAGCAGGGGGTTGGACTAGAAGACCTTCAGGGTCCCTCCCAAGCCTGTTATTATTATTAAGAAGACTGGACAAAAACCTTTCTGCCCAATTTGCTTGTTTCCACCAAACACTGAAAGCCTGTCTTTATTTTATTTTTATTCAACAGACTTCGGGACTTCAAGCTTTTCCCCTCTCCAGATAGTCCTTGACTTACAACCATTTTTTTAGTGACCGTTCAAAGTTACGACAACACTGAAAAAAAAAGTGACACGACCGTTTTCCCACACAACTGTGGCAGCGTTTCCATGATCATGTGATCAACATTCAGATGCTGGACTCATGTTTGTGACGGTTGCAGTGTTCCGGGCAAAGTCAATGGGGAAGCCAGATTCACTTAACAACCGTGTTACTAACTGCAGTGATTCTCTTAACAACCGTGCAAGAAAGGTTGTAAAATGGGGCAAAACTCACTTAACAACTATCTTGCCTGGCAAGGGACATTTTGGGCTCAATCCTGGTCGTTAAGTCAAGGACTACCTGCAGTAGCTTTGTCCCTATTTTATTTCCAGATTTCAGCATTTCTCTCTCTAGGGACAGTTACTCCTAGTTGGGAAATCCTTGATTTACTACAAGTGGAAGCAGCCAAGAACCCTGTTTTCTTCTTTTCAAGAGCAGCATCCGGAAGAGGGCAGCTGTCAAATATTTTAGCTCCTGTTTAGAGGGAGAAATTAAATGCTATTCAATGATGCCCCGAGCCTATCGTTTAAATTAAGCACAACCGTTTTGTTTTTCATTCCCATTGCTTTAAAAAGTAAAATTTCGCCACCCCATTTCAGGGACAAGGATTCAAGGGCTTTCCAGCAGCCAAATGAAGAAGGGGTGGGATCACAGATAGCTTCCCAACTTATTTGTCATAATGCAGAAGCCGGACCCGCGTTTGCTCTGCCTGCGAGCTTTTGAAAACAAAAAAAGTTTCGTCCATCTCTGTGCAAAAAGGATTCTGAAGAATTAGCACCAATCTTCCAGGTCAGGCAGGGCTTTCGAAGTTTGTCTCAGTTGCGAATTCTGAACACTGCCAGGGGCAACCACGAAAAAGAGCTTGTATGGATGGCTAGAGATGACTCTCCCTGGAGTTCTCCTGCACAATATTTCTGCAAATATTGATAAAGGATACTATTTGTAGCTCGGGGGTTGAAATGAGGGGTCCTTGATGCTTTCTGAGCTTTTCTTGCAGACGTTTCATGACCCAAACTAGATAACATCATCAGTGTTACTCACCAATGATTAGCACTGATGACGTTACCTAGTTTGGGTAATGAAACATCTGCAAGAACACAACCAAGCTCAGAGAGCACCAAGGACCCCTCATTCCACAAATATCTTTACTGGGCATTCTTGAACCCGTGTCTTTGGCAAAGAGACAGATTTGAGAGCTTTTGCCTCGTGTTACCTGTCCTGTGTGTGCACAGGTGGTACAGGACATCTGGATTTTCTACCAAACTAGCCAGTCTTCTTTGGAAAGAGAAGGAACTTTTCCCTGACCGGTTGAGCAAAATGTTTACAAGCTTATATATATGAAAAAAAAAAAATTGCACATTGGAATGTCACAATTCCCTAGACACACATCCTTCTTATGTGCAGCTGGGACAAGTAGTGGTACAATCGATGGAGGCTTTATTTCCTAAGAAGCTTCTCTGCATCCAATATTACTGTTAACCCATTCTAGACAGCCTAGAACAGTGTTTCTCAACCGTGACAATTTTAAGGCATGTGGACTTCAACTCCCAGAATTCCACAGCCAGCATTGCTGGCTGTGGAATTCTGGGAGTTGAAGTCCACATGCCTTAAAATTGTCACGGTTGAGAAACACTGGCCTAGAAAATTGATTTCAACAAATATTCAGTCCGGCAGTACTTTGAATCTGATTCCAAAAATGATCTTCGAAGCACACACGCACACACACACACACAAACACACACAGGCTGGATCTAACTCATTAAAGCAACTTCATCCTTTGTATAGCTCAGATCCAGCTTCCTTCTGCAACGGCCAGCTGATCTTGAAAGAGCTATAGACAGGGTCCACAAACAGACACACACACAAACACACACACATAGAGCCCAACACATACAAGCAAGCCAAGTCTCCGTTTTGGAATCGAGTTGGAAGCACTGCACAGTTCTAAAATTTAACCATAATAAAAACAACAACAGGATTCTGTTACTTTAAATAAGGGCACGGGTCCCCCCCTTTAAAATATGCCCTTTCAGAAATTACAAGACCTCCGCTGCATTGACTTTACTTTGTTCCAGTATCAAGAAGTGTTTTTAATTTTTTAATTGTATGCAGGTCTTCTTAGAAGCAATATACCCGGAGTAAGATCCTCCTAAATTACAGATCGCAGAGCCTTGTTTTTGACTCATTTCCCCTCTAATCACATCTTGCCCCAATTTAAGTAACAGCCAACTTCTTGCTATTTTGCCCAGCCCATCCACTGCGACCCTAATCTCCTGGTTGACAAGCACCAGGTTGGTTAGTTTTCTGCCTCCCCCCTCAAGAAACCCACAGAAAGCCCAACTGAACTTGAGCAGCCCTACTCTCTTAACGCAGGTTTTCCAAACCTGGCCCATTTCTAGGTATATGGACTTCCCAGAATTTCACAGCCAGCGTAGCCATTGCTGAGAATTCTGGGAGTTGAAATCCACTCAACCTTCAATTTGCCAAACTTGGAAAAACGCTGCTGTAACAAGTCAACACACTTAAGATATGCTTCACGGGTGCAATCCTATACATCCCGAGGGCCTGTTGGCTCAAGGCTATCCTAGACCTTGCACCACTGATCAAAGGCCACATTCCAACCATGACCTAGGCTAAGACCTGTTTTTTTTGGGGGGGGGATATGAAATGGGTGCTAAGCCTTTAGAAGGCTCAAGGCACTAATTCTGCTCCTTAACTTCCCTCCCAACTAAAAAAAGAAAGAGAAAATTGGCCCCACCCGTTCTGGGATGCCAGTAGAAGATAGGCATGCCAGCACCCCTGTATTTTGCCCTCTTATTCTGTTGGAATAAAAAGCAGCTTAGCAGGTCGACTTCCAAGCACGCGTGCTCTCAAAAACTAGGAGTTAACCAGTTTCGCCATAAGCCAGCCTCTCATTTTGGAAGGTTCCTCCAAAATATACCTTCTAACTTTGGCCCCTTAGTCGGCTTTTGGAAATAATTTCTGCTCCTCTTCTCATGATGGCGCAACTGGACACGACCCAGGGCTTTATTCCCATCTCCTTAACTTCTGAGACCGTCCCTGTTCTCTCCATATCATTCTGGGGATCCACGGAAGTTCCCTCTACCCACAAGCATGCCTGTTTTAAGGCGAAACATCAGCAGAACATTTCACCCCCGTTCTCCCAGCTTCAAACCAAAGTCAACATTCTGCAGTGTTTTTCTGTATCCTCACAACCCACCGGAACCAAAGCCCATTCCAATCCAGCTTTGAGCCCCATGCACAGAAGCTACTTGGCTAATTAAGTTCACGGACTGAGTAGCTGGCAGGATGTGTCTCCCAAAGGCTCTGGGTCTAGAGAGTCCCCAATGTTCAGCCTTGCCCCTACAAGTGGTCTCAGCACTACTTGGTATGAAGCTGAGATGTTTCCTGAGCCACATCTCCAGGCTTACACACTGATGACTTGTCAGGGGAGCAAGGAAAATCAAAGCTCAAAGGCAGATCTTGACCTTTCTCTCCCAAAGGGAGGACCCAAGCATGTTTTTTAGCCAGATTGCCCCCACCAGGCCTCTGAGAAGTACAGTCCTCTGGTGACATCACAGGGGCCTGCAGAAACAGAGTGGAGGGCCTGGTCAATGGTCTCAATGCTGGCAGGACAGGATGATTGCTTCCATCTGCTGGAGGGTTCCTTCCAGCTGGTTCCTTGGTGGGATTCTGCCCCAGGCAAGCCAAAGGAGGAGCTGTGTCAGAGCGCTCCAATAACCCCCAAGGACCTCGAGAGGGAAGTGTATTCGAACCAGCCTCTCCTGCTTTCGTTTCTTGCAAGGAAAATTCCTCCTGGCCATATGGTGCATTCAATCGTCCTGGCCACGAGAAGCCACCAACGCCTTCTTCTCTTCCTCCTGGAGAATGTGGCACCCCTTCCTGGCCAATGTCCGATCCAAGAGAACCGGGATCCTTTTTGGAACCGCTCCACAGCTCAAACGGCCTAAAACTGTCCTTGGATAGCTGCAAGCTGGCCAGCTCAAACTCCAGACTTTCGGTGTCCAGAGATCGGCTCCTCCTGCAGACGGACAGCGGCTCCAGCAGAGGTGGACTCAGCTCCTGAAGTCTGAGACGCCGAGGGAGGCTGGCAGCTCCCCAGTGGGAGGAGACCTGAGGGTACTCAGGAAACATTCGCTCATCACATTCAGCAAAGGAGGCTTTGGAGTCATAAGTGTCCCGGAAAGCCTCGAAGGACGCGGTCAGGTCCTCCTCCGTGTTCAGCTCCAGATGCTCCTCGCACTCCCCTTCCCCTTCCTGTTCCACATCGACGATGTCAAAAGTCACCATTGTGGGCAGGTCAGGAAAGTTCTGAGTGAATGCAGAGCCTGAATCGGAGCTTCTAAGACTTTCAGACAGGCTGGAGAAAAGAGTCCCGTTGCTGGTGAATTCCACCAAGGCTTGGGAGAAGTTGACAGCTTGTTCTGGTTCTTCGCTGCCTTCCTGGCAGGGCTCTTGAAAGTCAGCTCTGGGAGAGCAGCCGGGGTGGCCATGCGCTCTGTAGAGCGGGCAGCTCACAGAGTTTCCCGAAGCTGAAGCATCAAACACCGGATGTTCACCGCTGGAGTCCAACTCAGAGCTATTCTCCGATGGCTGAATAAGGCAACTACTGTGTGCTTTCGTGGTGGTGGTGCTGCTATCGCAAAGCTTTTCTGGACAGAGCTTCTTGTGGAAATCGTCTTTCCAGTCTTGGTTTTCCGCTAGCTTCTTTCCACCGCTTAGACCCTCGTCCAAAGCACAAAAATTCATTTGCTCACAACCAAGGCAACTTGAGCTCTTCCCAACTAAGCCGGTGGCTTGCATTTTACATTCAGACATCTGCCCTGGACTCAGATGTTGGTCTCTTCTAAGTTCCTGGAGGTGTTTCAGGGCCGGGTCTCTTTGCATCTCCCAAAAAAGCAGCTGTTTCTGGAGGGTGGCCAGCCTCTGCTTTTCCATCGCTTCACTTTTCTGATCCATCAGCCAGATCAAGTCCTTCTCATCGGGGAGAGCAAAGTCCAGGAATTGGTCAAATACCTTCGAAGGGGACACTTTCCCATCAAACCAGGATCCCTCTCCATGAGACGGGCTCATCAATGCATCGTCAGGTTCGTAAAACTCATAAAGAGCATCCCCACTGTAGCTGTCCCTTGGAAGGCGGTCCTTTTTGATTTCATCTAAACCATCCCCAGCTTCATCTTCAGGACCTGGGGTGGTAGAATCATAGTAGCCCTCATCGCTATTGGGAGCGGACTCTTGTTGATCACTGTGCGGTGTCAGAAGGTCCGTGTCGTTCCTTGTTCCTTCAGGGTACAGATGAATTTCCTGCTTGGCATCCTTCATGCCCTGAAGGTCACCTTTGGTTAGGAGCTCCGGCAGATGTGCTTCAGGGTCTGCACCCCCTTTGATGGCTCCTGCCCACATCTGCTGGAGGTACTCTTCTAAATCCTCCGGCAGGGCCATTTCCTCCCCTCCGCCTTGGTAGGTAACCAAACAAGAGGTCCTCTTGGCGGCCTCCCGGCTGCGTTCCACAGAGGTGGAGCTCTCCGTGATGCTATCAATATCTGGTTCTGCAATTATATCCCCGCAACCGGTGAAAGAGTCAAAGCTTTTAAGGGAGGTCACCTCCCCAAACATCAAGCTAAACTGCTCCCCGGATGGTTCGCAAGGAGGGCTCTTCTGCAGGAACTCTGGTTCAAAAGCCTCAGGGAGGTCCCCGTAGGCAGAGTCAGCACAGGCGTCCTGAAGGCTTGGCTGCCCATCCTGAGATCCTTCAGGACACGCAGGCCCTCTGGCTGCTTCGCCGACAGACCGAATGGGGCTTGAGGCCAGGCAGTCCATCCCTCCCGCCTCATTGTGGCTGGCTGCCATTGGAGGCACAGCATCGCCGGGGAAACCCTCCCCACGTTCTGGTGTCACTGTCCCCCTCTGAAGACTCCCACCCAGCCCATTCCCACGTGGCTGTTCTTCAGCCACGGTGTCCCGGAGAGCCCACTCCTGCAGCTCCGTCTTCTCAGGCTCCGCAACTTTGTTCTTCCGATGTCGGCGAATGCTGTTAAATAGCCCCTTCAGCCCCTTTTTGGATCTCGGGAGGAACAAGGACTTCTCTCCCGTCAGCTTCTTCTCAAAGCCTTCGGTGCTGCTGGACAGAAGGTTTGAGGACTGGGCAAAGCCAGCTCTGAGCTCGGCTCCCAAAACTGCGCTCTGGGAACTTGGCAGAAGCTGGGGAGGAGGGAAGTCTGGCCCTGCGTCCGAGGGGCTCCTGAGACATCCGGAAGCGGCCTCTTCGTGCGCCACGTCGCTGATGCCATCGTGGGTCTTGCTCTTGCTGAGACCCTTTTTGGAGGCTCCCTTGGCCTGGCTTTTATTCTTCCCCCCAAAAAAGCTGGGCAGGGTGCAGATGCTTCTCTTCCCCCCGAAGAACTTAAAGGCCGTCTTCTTCAGCTTGCTGGCGGGCGCCTGTTGCCGATTCGGCTCTGCCCCAGCGAAGGAAGCATCGCAGTGTTCGGAGAGGTGGCTGGCTGCCCCGTTTTCCTCCTGGGACTCTTTCCCATCTTTGACCAAGAGGGACTTGGCCCCGGGATTCTCACCGATGCCAGCAGTTTCTACAGCGGCCATTCTGGCTTGCGTCGTTAAGTGAAGACCAACGATCTCATGGCTGCTTCCTTTTTCGTATCTCTTGACCGAAGCATCATGGGAATTCTGGGGGGGGGGAGGAAAAAGTAAAGGGAATGGGGAAGAAAAAAGAAAGAGCATCAAGACAATATACTGAAAAATGGCAATTCTTTAGAACTCGGTTTCTCAGCCGTGGCCACTTTAAGACACGTGGACTTCAACTCCCAGAGCTCCTCAGTTGGTGTTGCTGGCTGGGGAATGCTGGGAGTTGAAGTCCACGCGTCTTAAAGCAGCCAAGGTTGAGCATTACTGCTTTAGAAGATCCTGCAATGGTATGTTGGAATAACCTTGGGAGAACGGGCAAAGAAATGCAACTGGGAATGCTTACATAAAAGGCAGCTGAGCCCACTGGGGGGGGGGAATGTAGGTGGGGCAAGACTCAGAAGAGACCCTCGCTAATTTTGGGGCTACAAAGGGGACAGAGGGAAAGAAAAGTACTTCCAGTCTTGCAAGATCGATGTCAACCTTACTCGACAGACAGAACCATGAATAGAATTCCATTTTATTCTAACTCTACCTTAATAGAATCTAGTAAGTCTGCCACCACTCGATTTGCAACGATTCATTTAGTAACTATTCAAACTTACAACGGCAACAAAAAAAGTGACTGATGACCCCTTTTCACACTTACGACTCTTGCAGCATCCCCACAATCGCGTGATCAAAATTCAGATGCTTGGCCACTGGTTCATATTTATGGCGGTTGCGGTGTCCTGGGGGGGGTCACGTGATCACGTTTTGTGAGCTTCTGACGAGCAAAGTCAACGGGGAAGCCAGATTCACTTAACAACCGTGTCACTAAGTTAGCAATTGCAGTGGTCCACTTAACACCTGTGGCAAGCAAGGTCGTAAAATGGGGCAATACTCACTCAACAACTGTCTTGCTTAGCAACATGAATTTTGGGCTCAATTGTGGTTGTAAGTCAAGGACTACCTGTAGCTTTTCTCCACACATTTACAGACGCCCAGCTAGGGAGGGTCTTCTGAATCTCTTCCCCATCCACGTTTCTACTGCACGCTAAGGTACCTTCTATCTGACGGTTCCCTTGGCTGCGCGTCTCTTTGCTGTCTCCCAAGGTCATTTCCACATACTACTTATTTATTTATTTATTTATTTATTTATTTATTTATGAGACTTATATACCGCTTTAAGTGCAAGCACTCTCTAAGCGGTGTACACCAGTAAGCAATGTATATATATATTTACATTGCCCCAACAATCTGGGTCCTCATTTTACCTACCCCGGAAGGATGGAAGGCTGAGTCAACCTTGAGCCGGTGAGATTTGAACCGCTGACCTGCTGAACATAGTCAGCTAAAGTGGCCTGCAGTACTGCACTCTAACTGCTGCGCCACCTGGGCTCAGATCCATTTCAGATCCAGGCCTTCAAACTGCATTCTAACCAATTCTTCTGAGACCCCTAAATCTCTTCAGATATTCTCCAGAGGCAGATATCTACTTACACAAGTATATGGCAGACGTGGGGGGAAAGGAGTGGGTTCCAGATGTTAGCAAAAACATCTGGCACCTTAGGCTTCTTCATCAAACATCTCTAGGCCAGAAACAAGCTCCTCAAGATCTGATGGAGATTCTCAGCCATCCAGGCCATGGTTGTCCCAAAGGTGCTTTTTCAAAAGGCAACTGGACTTTCTTGTTTTCCTTTGAAGACGTTTCGCTTCTCATCCAAGGTGCTTCTTCAGCTCTGACTCCCCACCATCCAGTCAGAGCTGAAGAAGCTTCTTGGAGGAGAAGCGAAAGATCCTGTTCACTTTATCGACTTATTGGCCAAAGCCTCTTCTCAACCTTTTTAATGCCGCGACCCCCAACCGGTCGTAAGTCGAGGACTACTCAACCGGTCGTAAGTCGAGGACTACTCAACTGGTGCAGCACCGTTTGCAGAATGGGACTTTTGGCGGGCTCAGCAGGGCAGAGACAGCCTGGACCATTCCTATTGGCTTTTGAAAGCCAATAGAATGAGACTCTATTCAAGAGAGTCTATTCTATTGGCTTTCAAAAGCCAATAGAATAAAAGGGAGTAGCACAGCTAAGGAAAAGGGGGGAAAAATGTCGGACTGCATTGTTTGGCGACCCCCGTGAAATGGTCGTTCGACCCCAAATGGAGTCCCGACCCACAGGTGGAGAACCACTGCTTTAGAGAAACTTTTGTTCAGCCGAAGAAGGTTGAAAATTGCTTTATATTATCCCTGGAGCCAAACTGGAACCATCAGCCCAACTTCTCCCTACCTATAGTTACAATGGAAGGACTTTGCCTGTAGTTAAAATGAGAAAAATTTGGGAACTCGTTCAAATCTTTCCAGCCCATAGCTTTGGGCGGGGGAGAGGGGAATTCCCCCTCAACTGACCCTTAAGCCAAAATTGCCTAACTTAAATCATGGTGTTTGGCAAAGACTCACTGGCACTGACTTCAAAGTCAGGTAGTCACTTCAGCCCTTGCAGTCAAGATTTAACTAAAGAATTATTAACCCTCTCAAGGTCGAGGGATCTCCCAGAAGTATTTTTTGGAGAGAATTCCTTTATATAAGCCCCATGGAGGACACCCGGCTGCTATGAAACAAAGATTAGAGCCTCGTTCAAAAGAAGCTCAGCTGAATCTACGTGATCATTCTGCCTTAATCTGTCCAGCTTCAGCCAAGAGGCTGTCGACAGACCCTCCTTTAATCCCTGGAAATCACTAAAAATATCTCTCAAAAGCATAAGACATTCTGCTCTCCTTCCAGCCCACTGAATGGAACAGCTAGCTCTGTCTATCAGCCCAGATGATGCGCTGCCACACAACTAATTCTTAATAAATCACCAATTTACAGAATATACGATCAAATAGACCTAGCTGCCCAGAAGCAGAATCCAAAGTGATCAAGTGGAGACTTTCTACAATCCAAGGGGCTTGACTCTTCCTTCCTGCATGGAAGAGCCCCCCTCAAGTCAGCCTGCCCAGAACTTAATGGACCATGCTGGGCCACCTCTATAATAATAATAATAATAATAGTAAAGTTGGAAGGGACCTTGGAGGTCATCTAGTCCAACCCCCTGCTCAGGCAGGAAACCCTATACCATTTCAGACAAATGGCTATCCAGTCTCTTCTTAAAAACTTCCAGTGTTGGAGCATTCACCACTTCTGGAGGCCAGTAGTTCCACTGGTTAATTGTTCTCACTGTCAGGAAGTTTCTCCATAGTTCTAGGTTGCTTTTCTCCTTGGTTAGTTTTCATCTGTTGCTTCTCGTCCTGCCTTCAGGCGCTTTGGAAAATAGCTTGATTCCCTCTTCTTTGTGGCAGCCCCTGAGATATTGGAACACTGCTATTGTGTCCCCCCTCGTCCTTCTCTTCATTAAACTAGACATACCCAATTCCAGCAACCGTTCCTTGTATGTTTTAGCCTCCAGTCCCCTAATCTCCCTAACCTCTGAAGATATCTAACACGGATCGACATTTAGCTGCATCGCACATTATTCAGTTCCTCTCCTGAACACACCTGGCTGGCCTGCCAAGCAGGGGAATTTTGCCTTTATTTCCCGGATTAGAAAGTATGAGATTGCCAGAAACGGGGAAGAGGAGTCTATAGAATTAAAGGGCTACAGCTCTTTCTCTCTTCAAGCCATTTTAGCCAGAAAGGTGGTCATGTTCTAATGCAGTGGTGGCGAACCTGTGGCACGGGTGCCAGAGGTGGCACGCAGAGCCCTCTCTGTGGGCATGCATGCCGTTGCCCCAGTCCTAGGCCTTCAACTGGGTTTTATAAAACCTTTCCGCTTTAGGCCTCTGCCACCGTGTGCAAAAAAAAAAAGGTTCAATCAGTCAATTTCAACTTCTCGCAGGAAAAAAAAGATCTTGCAAAGCTGGAATTGATTGATTGAACTTTTTAATCCCACCCAATCTGCTGTTACCACCACAGCCATGCCCACCCAATGGGCCACACACACTCAATGGGCCACATCCACCCGGCACCCGACGATGCATAAGTGGGTTTTGGGTTGCAGTTTGGGCACTCGGTCTCTAAAAGGTTTGCCATGACTGTTCTAATGTTCTCCCATTTGCATGACTACTTATCTAACCTACTGCTTGGATTTCCCTGGCATTAGCCACAACATTGAAATTTGGGACCTGAAGTCTCTTGCTAATCAATACTTACTTTTCCCTTGCTTTTATTCAAGTTTTTATTTGTAATAATAATACTAATAATACTAATATGTTATGTTGCACCTGTAACATAACACCCCAGACTTAACAATTGTCAATAAGAAAGACAAAAAGTCTGGATAGTGGACTTGGCAGTGCCTGGAGACAGCAGAATGGAAGAGAAAGAACTGGAGAAGATAACAAAATACAAAGATCTACAAATAGGAAGAGAAAGACTGTGGCAAAGGCAAGCAAGGGTAGTACCAATAGTAATAGGTGCCTTGGGTGCAATCCCAAAACAACCAGGGCACCACTTGAAACCATTGGCATTGACAAATTCGCTATTAGTCAATTGCAAAAGGCGACCTTACTAGGAACTGCTTCCATCCTGCGACGATACCTGTAATACCATCAAACATCCACATCTGCCTATCCCAGGTCCTGGGTAAGGACTCGATAGGTAGACAAAATGCCAAATCTAGTCTGAACATCTGGCTGACTGTGCAATGATCCATAATAATAATAATAAAGTTGGAAGGGACCTTGGAGGTCTAGTCCAACCCCCTGCTGAAGCAAAAAACCCTATACCATTTCAGACAAATGATTGTCCAGTCTCTTAAAACCTCCCAGTGTTGGAGCATTCACAGGTTGGAGGCAGTTTGTTCCACTGGTTAATTGTTATGTCAGGAAATTTCTCCTTAGTTCTAGGTTGCTTCTCTCCTTAATTAGTTTCCATCCGTTGCTTCTTGTCCTGCCTTCAGGGGCTCTGAGGGATAGTTTGACTCCCTCTTCTTTGGGGCAACTCCTGAGATATTGGAACACTGCTATCATGTCCCCCCTCATCCTTCTTTTCAGTAGACTAGACATACCCAATTCCAGCAGCCTTTCCTTATA